GGGCTCTGCAGCTTACCTGGCTGCTTCTTGCTCTGACTGAGGGCTGCTGGGAGCAGGGGGCGGGGCTTGTTGCATGTGCACACCCCCTGGGCTCTTTACTGCCGGAGCGCCGCTCCTGCAGGGAATGACCCCTGGGTGTGAGAACAAAGGAGTGGGGTGCCCCGGGGCTTGGTTCTGGGCCCGGTACTTTACAGTATTCTTATCAATGAGCTGGAGAAGGGGGGGGGGGCTGCTCACTAAAACTGCAGGTGACACCAAACTGGGAGGAGCAGCGAACACACCAGCGGATAGAGAATTCAACGAGATCTGAACACCCTGGGAAAGTGGGCGGATGCGAACAAGATGCAATTCAACAAGGGTAAGTGCTGAGTTATATATCTGGGTTACAAAAGTGAGGAACCTGCATACTGGATGGGGGGATACGCTTCTGACAGTAGCAGTGTGTGTGTGAATAAGATCTTGGGGTACGGGTGGACCGTAACGTGCAATGTCCCTGCTAAGCTTCACAGTGTTGTGAGCGGAAATTCGACCTCCTGAGTGAAAAAAGCTAGTAGTGAGCAAGTCTACATTTGACTATTGCATAATTTTTTTAGATTATTTCCATAACCTTATAAAATCTCAGAATGATTTATTTTAAACTATATTTAAAGGATAATTTAAACATTATAAGAGAAAACCGCATCAAGTCAAATTTCATTACACAAAATGTTGTCCTCTATGGGGGTAGACCAGGCCTCTGGAGAACAGATCTACCTGCCCCTTTCCACTATATTGGTGTGCGGAGTCCAGCCAGTTGCCACGGTAGAGTTGCCAAATTTTTAAAACTTACCGGCGGGGGAGCTTCCTGCCGGTCCGGGAGGTGTCCGACGATGCGCGCGCCGCCAAAGCATCACCGGAAGTGACGTCATACGCTGGGCGGGGCCACGCCATTTGAGGGGAAAACAAAGAAAGCAAGCTGAGAAACAGAGCCAAAGGTCAGAAAGCCGGGAAATCAGTCAGAGTTTCCAGGAGCTAAGAGTGAGGAGCAGAGGCTGACAGCCAGGATCAGGTCTGAGCATGCACACTTGCTTCTGCACCAAAGCAGGTGAGTGGGGGTGTTTATGACCAGGTCCTCCCTTCCCTGGGAGCCAACCTGCAAAGACTCACAGCCCCTCATGTTGCCTTTGCAACAGCTGCAGTCTGGCACTCTTCCTTCCCTCTTGCACATTCAGAGGCTGGCATGCCCTGCCTCTGGGACAATCAGGTGAGCTAGGTGGGGATTCTGGCCTTGGGGTGTCTCCAACTGGGGGTGCTGGGCCAGGCTCTCCCTCTGGCTGCACCTCAGTCTCTCCGCCTTGCTGCCCCTCCTGCGCAGTTGCTGGGGCCTCTTCTCCCTCAGGTGCTGGCAAAGGTTCCTCTTCTGGGCTGACTCCAGAGGAGGCTGGGTTGCTCCGTGCCTCTTCCTCATTTGAGGAATAGTCAGCAGAGACAGGACCCACGACAATTGGTAGCCCCGTCCTGACCCTTAGAAAACATGCCAGCACTTGGGGGTGGGGAGAGACTCTTGCAGTCGACTTTGGTTTTTTTAGTTAAATATGACAACCAGCACGACAGGTCAAGTATAACAGAGGAGGAACAATCACTGTTTAACCTAACAAACTTAACCTAACCTGTTCAACCTAACAAACAGGAAATTGCTGAAATGCTATCAACCTGCCCAAATTACATATTTATTCCCCTGTGACTCAAGGCAGCTTACAAATCATACTGAAGAACATAATAGGAGTGTGCAAGATTTTTTTTTCCTGGCTCCATTATAGCCTATTGGGACCATTATTGTCAATGGGCCCCATAGTCTATAATGGAAAATCAATCTGGGGGTATCTGGGGCTTGGGGGTGGTGGTGGTGGCTGTTCTTTGAGGTAGAGGCACCAAATTTGCTGCAGAGCTGCTGGTGCCTCGCCTCAAAAAAACTGATAAATCACCAGGCCCGGATGGCATAGATCCGAGAGTTCTGAAAGAACTCAAATGTGAACTTGTGGATCTCCTGACAAAAATATGTAATCTCTCCTTAAAATCTGCCTCCATTCCTGAGGACTGGAAGGTAGCTAATGTCACTCCCATCTTTAAAAAGGGTTCCAGAGGAGATCCGGGAAATTACAGGCCAGTCAGTCTGACGTCGATACCGGGTAAATTGGTGGAAACCATTATTAAGGAAAGAATTAGTAGGCACATAGATGAACAAAACCTATTGAGGCAGACTCAACATGGGTTCTGTAAGGGAAGATCTTGTCTCACTAACCTGTTAATGTTCTTTGAGGGGGTGAACAAACATGTGGACAAGGGGGATCCAATAGATATTATTTACCTTGACTTCCAGAAAGCTTTTGATAAAGTTCCTCATCAAAGGCTCATAAGTAAGCTCAAAAATCATGGGATAAAAGGACAAGTCCTTTTATGGATCAAAAACTGGCTAATTAATAGAAAACAGAGAGTGAGTATAAATGGGCAGTTCTCCCAGTGGAGGGGGGTAAGCAGTGGGGTACCACAGGGATCAGTACTTGGTCCACTGCTTTTTAACTTGTTCATTAATGATTTGGAGTTGGGAGTAAGCAGTGAAGTGGCTAAATTTGCGGATGATACGAAGTTGTTCAGGGTGGTGAAAACCAGTGAGGATTGTGAGGCACTCCAAAGGGATCTGTCAAAGATGGGCAAGTGGGCGTCAACATGGCAAATGGGGTTCAATGTGGCCAAGTGCAAGGTGATGCACATTGGAGCCAAAAATCCTAAATATAAATACACATTGATGGGGTCTGAACTGGCAGAGACTGAGCAAGAGAGAGATCTTGGAGTTGTAGTGGATAACTCACTGAAAATGTCGAGACAGTGTGTGACTGCAATAAAGAAGGCCAATGCTATGCTGGGGATTATTAGGAAGGGTATTGTAAACAGATCAGCCAATATCATAATGCCGCTATATAAATCAATGGTGCGACCTCATCTGGAATACTGTGTGCAATTCTGGTCACCACACCTTAAAAAGGATATTATAGCTTTGGAAAAAGTGCAGAAAAGAGCAACTCGAATGATAAAAGGGTTGGAACACTTTCCCTATGAGGAAAGGTTAAAGCGCTTAGGGCTCTTTAGCTTGGAGAAAAGACGACTGAGGGAAAGAAAGAGGTCCTTTCCTCCCTTTCTCACAATGCAAGAACTCCCTGTGGGCACTCCTTCACCCAAAGAGTGATGAACAGGTGGATTTCACTGCCACAGGAAGTGCTGGCAGCTACAAGTGGCGGAGGGTTCCAAGAGGGAAGGGGATGCTTGGAGGTCCATGGGTGGCCCCTATGAGCCACAAGGGATAGAGAGGGGCTCTGGGGGGGGGGGCAGGCGCTGCCCTGTCTCCTTGGTTCTTGGGGTGTGTGTGTGTGTGTCCGTGTGTCCCCCTGGTGTCTCCGGCCCCTGTGTGAGTGACCCAGGGGGAGAGGGCTGGGCTGGAGGGGCCCCCCCCGGGCCTGATCTCTCC